AGTCAGCCACAGTTGGTTGTGATCCACACAGTCAAAAGTCTTTGCATAGTCAATGAAACACAGATAGACATTTCTCCAGTACTCTCTGCTTTCAGCCAAGATCCATTTAACATTAGTTATAATATCCCTAGTACCATGGCCTCTTCTAAATCCAGTCTGCACAACTGGCAATCCTTTGTTGACATTTACTCCAGTCATTTTTTTTTATCATTTTCAGGATAATCTTGCTTGCATGTGATATCAATGATACAGTTTGATAATTTCTGCACTCTGTTGGATCACCTTTCTTTGGAATAGGAAAAAATACAGATCTCTTTCAGTCAGTTGACCAGGTTGTTGTCCTCCAGAGTATAGCCTTGACCTTTTTCAGTCTATAATATTTCAAATTATCTTCCTTTTCAGGAAGTAAAGTTATGTCATTTGCACATTGCAGGTCATTAGTGAGTCTCACACCCATTTGGTGTGTTTTTCATATGGTTGGCCTTGTTTTAGTCTCAACAAAGACAGAATCATCTTTTTCTTCTCTTGTCAAGAAACTCTTCTTGTTGGGAGAAACAGTCAATGAGGATTAAACAACAGGATCTGAAGTCAAATGAACAAAAATAGCATTGCGTCATCCTGTGGTTTTTGGTCAACCCCAAGTCAAATAATTTGAGGTTTAAAAATTATGAACTTGTCTTCAGTCAAGAGGGACTATGTGGTAAACCACAACCATTGATCTAGTCTCACTTTTGAGAATGAGCTTTCTCTCTGAAAAAAGGTAGAACTTAATATTCAGAGTGAGTTCCAAGCATATCTAAGTGAATAATGTTTTCCTCTCTTTCCTTCTTAAAAAGTATTAATTGTGTTTATTTATTTATTTTAATCTGTATTGTAGTTTCTTCTCACAGATATAATAAATATTTCTATGAGTAAAACAAAACCACATAGTTGCTCTATGAGGCATTTCCAATGATATGACCCTATATATTTATTTATTTATTTATGTATTTTAGTAAGTGTACTTACAAATTGTGCCTTGCATCTTGGAGGGATTTTTCTGGATTGTAATTCTCAGTTGTTGTTGTT